TCAAAACTACAAACAATGTTATGAAAAAAAAGATGTGTTTTATGAATCAGAAAATGTATTTATTTGGAAATAATGAGGAACTCAAGATTCTCCCAATTTTCTTTTATTAATGTTTTAAACTACTATGGAAAAGATATCATACTAGGAATAAAGTTTCTTAAATTTATCCTTGTGTTTTGCTTTGTTTTTTAAAAACATTGGTGGGGGAGGGGTGAATATGACAGAGATCTAGGAACTCAGAATCTTTCACATGCACTTTACCAGGCTTGGCCCTAAAGTGTTCTTTTAAAATCAGTAACAGTTTTCTTATTCATCAAATCCAATCTTACAATAGATAGTCTCATTCTACCATACATGTAGGACAATATTTAAATTTAATGTAGAAGTACATTCATCCAGCATTCCCTAACTGTAACACAGAACATAAAAAATTATCTGAATGTCTGTTTTTCACTTATTCCAAGCATGGAACATAACTAATGCTAATCCAGATACACAAGAAAGAAGTCATTCATTCCATGTAAAAGATCCTTTGACTTATTAAAGCTTAATTCTCCAGTTGAGCACAGTTGGGAAATGATTAAGCCCTTGTGTTATTTAAAAAATAAAGGTTCACAAACAGAAAGTGTTTATATTTATACAGGTATATAAAAAGCAATGTATGCTAGAAAAGCAGCTCTCAAAAACAGAACATTTGTGTGTTGTCTGGCAGATTGTGAAATTATGCCCTAAAAAAGACCTTAAGAGTCAGGGAGAAAAGCATAGACAACAGAGAGCATGTCACTCATGTCTTGAACCTAATGTTTAGTGTATTAAACATTAACTATCTTTACTTAATAAAGTACATTCATGAATTCTATATTATTTTAGTTTCACTTTTAAAATACTATTATTACAGGTACAATCCTATACATAAGAATATTTGGTATAAGAATATTACATAAGAATATTACCTAAATATATCAATCCAAATCCTCCAGAGCCAATCATCTTGCCCAGTACCCATTGCTTCCCTTCTGTATCATCCAGAACTTTGCCTTCTGGAAGTGGAATGGGAAGTTTAGGTTTCCCATTTCTTCTTGGTGGCATGACTTCTTCTGGCAAAGGGGTGAGATAAAACAGCTAAAAATAAGAACAAACAAAATTGTACAGTTAAAATACATTTCCCAAGATGTCTACTGTGGAAAAATTTCCTAGGATTAAGATTAGTATTCTGAAGACAACTCAGTTTGGGGAAGCCCACTCCACACACCTTATATTTAAGCTAGAAATGGCACCATTAAAATTTTGAAACCTAACAAGTACTAACATTATGAAAGAAAAGCAAACCAATCTTTTGACTTTCTTTTAAATCAGCAGTTTGAAAATTCATTGAGGGGATCTGGAAAATACATAAGTGCTACAAATATGCCTTAAGAAACAAGAAGTTAACATTTGCCAACAACAAAGGAAGAACAAATATCATACACATGCAGTCTCCCTTCGTTGAAAATGGGTTGCTAAACGATGAGGCCTTCAGTTAGTATAAAAGAATAGAGCTCTTAATTAAAAAGACATAGAAGGTAGTAATGCACATCACCACCACCAAGCACAGAATCTGACAGAGTAGGTACACGGTAAGAATTTGTTAAATAAGCGAGATTTTCATTCACAGTAATTTAGGCCATCGGTGGCTGGTGTCAGGGCTGAGGAATGGTCTGATCCTTCTTGCCCCAAACCCTCTTCCACCTCATAGAAGTGAAAACAGCTGATTTAAGACATGACAGCTAAAGTATAGTTACATAACTTTAGTCAAGTAATTATAATTGTTAGCATATTTGACAATTAGAGACTTCGAGTTGAAAGAGAACACTTCTCAGGGGAAAACACATACCATCATAAATGCCTGAAACTCAATGTGAAAGTGATAGTGGTCCTCTAAATACTTCTCAACAGTTGCTTACAACTGAGTGCTCTTGATAGCAAAGTTACGTATAAATGCGTACAGAGACACAGATGTAAGGTTCTTCTTTGTATAACTTTTCCAGCCTGAGTATAAGAAAGCATCCATTTGGTGTCCTTTATCAGCTGTTTCCCTCCTTCAGCTCCTGAATCCCTATGCCCTCTTTCAACTCACAGCCTCCACATGCCTGGTAGAATAAAGGCACCAGCAGAGATCCAGAACAATCTTCGCCTAAACCCTCGCTGGGGCAAGGCCTGGGGGTCTGGGGGGAGGGGAGACGGGTATGGCAATGGTGTACATCACCACCTGGGACCGGGTTTCTAGGGGGTTCCCCTTAACCGACACAGGAGCACAGCCGATTTGAAACTTGTTCTAAGAAAGACTGTTGGAGCGGGGGCTCAAACGATCACTGAAAGCGGTTGGGGTGGAGAAAGTGTCTGGCCCTGCGGCTGGGACGGCGGCCAGGGCTGTGGACTGCACGGGGCAGGGGGGTGGGGTCTTCCCCAGGCCGAAGCCACCCCTCAGCCACCGCAAGCCCCCGTCCCGGGTCCCCTCCAGCTGCCAGGGCCGCTTCCCTGGTCTACCAAGCGGTGCCCATCAGGCCCCACCGGCCCCCGGGCGCTAACGCCTAGCAGGGCCGGGACTGCGTGGGGCCCTCGGCCGTCCCCCCATCCCCAGGACGCCCCAGAGGCTGCGGCCACCGCGCAGCCCGCGGGGCGGGGGTACGACACACACGGATCCCCCGCCTCCAGCTCTTTCCTCTTCACCGCCACGCAAAGAAGAACTCCCACCCAGTTCCCGCCCAACCCCTCGGACCCGGCGTCTGGGAAAGCGCGTGGAAGCGGCACCGGGTCCTCCCTTCTCGCAGCCACGACGCACCGCGCAAGGCCGCGGCCACGCGCCCGGGACGGGCCTACTACTCCGCCTGGAGCCCCGGTGTCACGCACGAACGGCGGTCGGGAGAGCCGGAGACGCCGGGAGAGCTCCGGGCCTGAAGTCTCGGTGGCGCCCGGCGCAGCCTCCCGCGGATCTCCGGGCGTTTCAGGAAGCGGCCTCCAACCCGGCGGGGAGGCGGGCCTGCGCCGGGCGGTCTCGCAGGCCGGGCGTGGCCGGACGCCCTGCCTCATTTCCCTAAGTGATGGGATTATAGATGTGTGCCACCAGGCCCAGCCAGAATTGCAGCATTTTTTAAACTAGATGATGCCTTACAAA